TATTTTGTAAATAAAATTGATTTTTTCTTAAATGATAAACTTTATTTTATGAGTAATTCCAGGATACTATATTATAATTCTTAATTCTAATCTTTATAATCCCTTTTGGTATGGTACAAAATCAATGTCGAGTGACACTCGACATTGGAGTGGAAAGGGTCAAGTTTTTTTTTTCTTTTTTTTTCACATTCACGACATTCCTTTCATTCATATTATTTGATTTGGTGGTGTCTTTTGAATTTGATTATATTTTGTTAAAATATATCCAATGATGTCCTAAAATTGATTAAGGTACGATGGGACTAACGTGCCTAAAAGGACAAAAGTCCCTAAATAAATAAAGATAAAAAAAAAAACTTTTTATTACATGACTTAAAGAATCATCATCGTCTCCTTACCCTTATTCCAATTATTATTTGAGGTCGGCGTAATATGTTTTTATCCATATTACAAAAATATACACTATTTAAAGAATAATAGAAAAAAATCTTTAATTACCACATTACAAAAAACCTATAACGGGTTGTGCTCAGGGGATTTGTTCAATATGATGCCCACGGCTACTTTCTACCATCGCACGGCTCGCCATCGACAGACAGTTCACCTTCATACCCATCAGCGTAAATGGTCGCGTACAACGCGATTTCAGAGATGTTTTCTCTCACGAACACTCAGGTTACAGAATGAGCTCCCTGCCGAGATTTCCCCAAGAGACTGCATGAAGTTTTACTCCCATTTTGAAGAACATGAAGTTCTTCAAAATGGGAGTAAAGAGGTTTCTTCAGGATCAGCAATGCGCGCGTAATACCCCTGGTATTACAGGCGTTCACAGGCTACGGTTACCACTTACCACCAAGTGGTAAGTTGTTACCACTTGGTGGTACTTGTTTGCCACCTCAGTGGTATAAAAAAAATGTTTGGTACAAAAAGTATAGTATTGTAAAAATTTACGTTGGACACATTCAAAAGATCCACTAAGTCGTGATCAGCTAGTATGATAAACAAATCCTGTCTGACCTTTTATATTTCATCGTAACTGGCCAATTGGATATTACTCATAGAAGTATAGTATCCTAACTATATTTACATTTAAATTATCCACCATAGACGTATATGTTGGCTGTGTGGTCCCAGCATAGACCAGGCCACCCCTTCCTTTCCCGTGGATGTCGTAAGAGACGACTAAAAGAGGATGAGAGATGGGCAACAGCGTCCCTCTTAAAACATCTCTAAAGTCTGACTATGGTTGCCAATTCGCTTGCTAAGAATGGCAACTACGTGCAAAACTTCCAAAGGGGGAGGCTTATGTTCAACAGTGGACAGTTAAAGGCTGGTATGATGATAATGATACGTATACAAGCCAATATGTATTGCATTTGAAACAAGATTTAACACAAAATCAGGTGAATACGAAAAATATGACAGACGCAACTGAATTGTATGAAACGAGTAGTTCAAAATGCTGTATTCGTCATATCAAAATTGATATTGACTAGCAAACTCATTGATTTTATTTTAAAACGAACAAAACTCACTGCTGGATGCGATGTGAATTTAAATTTCTACAGGTAGAATTTATTCAATAGTAGCATTTTACTCTAAAAAAACTTTATTTATCACAAACTTATCGAGACCAACACGAGAAGAAAACTTAACAGTTAAATAAGAATTATCAAAATCGGTTTAGTTTAGTTTATCCCATTCGTGTTTTAGCCGTAAAGCAGTTGTGTTTGCATGGCTGTGTTTCGGTTTAAAGGGTGGGTGGGATATGGCATGAATTTACAGGGTACAGAGGAATAACACCTGAGTCCTCATGGGGGGTATTATGGGCGAAACAGTATACTACGTTATGTGCATGGTACTGTTCATGTCTATAGGCAACGGTTACTTTCCATCAGGTGGGCCATCAGCTTGTTTGCCATTCTAAGTTGTATAAAAAAAATTTATTACATAATTACGTAATGTATATATATCGTCATCATATTGACCGTTAACTGTCCACTGCTGAATATAGGCCTCCCCCTTGGGGGGTTTTTTTAGTAAATGCATCGCTTAGCAGACGGGTTGACAACCACAGTTTGCCTTTGAGTCGTATTTTAAAGGGGATGCCACTGCCCATCCCTCGACGACTATTAATTCCCTTAGTTGCCTCTTAATACCCATAGAATAGTAACAGGTGGTCCATTCTATGCCGGGACCACACGACTATACAAATTTTTTTTTATACAACTTAGAATGGCAAAGAAGTTGACGGCCCACTTGATGGAATGGTGGTAACCGTCGCCTATAAACATGAGCAGTACCATGGACATAACAGAGTATACTGTTTCGCCCATGATATCCCTCATGCGTTGCCATTCCTAAGGACTCAGTTGTTATTCCTCTGTACCCAGTAAATTCACGCCTTATCCCACCCTTCAAACCGAAACACAGCCATGCAAACACAACTGCTTCACGGTTGAAACACGAATTAGACAGAGGTGCCCAAGCAATCGACTTTTATACAAAGCCTCCCTCTGGTAAGAATGGTAAATATGCACAAAACAATACAAACGAATATAAAGCCTGTTCCTTTCTTAAATGTCACTTACGAGTAATAAAAATATAGTTCCAATGATCCCAGAGACATCAATTTACATAGATATCCACGTTATAAAGTTAATCCCGCCATCCCTTATCAAACGATCTCGAGTATCCAAACAGTAATAAAGCAAGAATGCACACAATAAAAGCTAGTATGTTATAATAAACCGAATATCTGCAAACGACAGTGGGCTGCTACGAGCGAGCGCACACGGGGAAGGGACTCGACTGTGTTTTACAGCACACGACACGATCACGGGACGAAAGCGATACGACTACGTTACGATATTATAGTTTACAAACAATTTTATTCAAAATTTTTTTTTGTAGTAGTAGAGATTTCAGCAGCGTCCCTCTTTTTAAGAGTCACCAAAACCTAACTGCAGTTGCCAAGTAGCCTGTCAAACGTGGCAACTACTGGCAATACTTCTCTTATGGGGGAGGCCCATGTCCACCAGTGAACAGTGGCTGATATGATAATGATCAGTTTTTATTTATTTAAATTTTAATGCAAAGTGAAACTATGTACATACTTAACACCGGACGGTGTTCTCTACTAGTCGACCATTGGACAAACTAAGAAATAAGTAGGCCGTGCATTATTGAATTGAAGGAATATAAAAAATAATACTTAAAATATTCATATATTATAAACATATAATTATGCTAGTATAAACCGACATATAATATATTAAATAAATAAGTAAATAACTGAATTAGAAGATCAATTTATCTTCAACTTTGTTCACGTGAGCAGGGTTTATTGGCTAATCGAAATAAAAAATGTCTTTTGTCCTTCATTATTACAAATAGTAAATGTCAAATTTTATGAGAATTAGGTGTGCCGTTAAAGCGCTAAAAGTGTGTTACTTCCATATTTATTACATTAGTAAGGAATCTCGAACAATCTCTTTCTTAGGCAGACCCTATAATTTTTTTTTTTTTTGGTTAAATTGTTAACACCTACATTATAAACAAATAGTTATCAGACCAACCTAATATGATGATATTAGGTAACACCCGAGGGAGACTTTGTACAAAAGTCGATTGCTTGGGTACCTCTGTCCCATTCGTGTTTCAACCGTGAAGCAGTTGTGTTTGCGTGGCTGTGTTTCGGTTTGAAGGGTGGGATATGGCGTGAATTTACTGGGTACAGAGGAACAACACCTGAGTCCTCAGGAATGGCAACGCATGGGGGGTATTTTGGGCGAAACAGTATACTCTGTTATGTCCATGGTACTCATGTCTATAGGCGACGGTTACCACTTTCCATCAGGTGGGCCGTCAGCAGGTTTACCATTCTAAGTTGTATAAAAAAAAAACATCACCTGCTTACCATCAAGTGGGATACGGTCACATTGACTAGCCTCCATAAAAAAAAATTAAAGAGCAAAAACTTGTTTGTTTATAATAGATAAACTCAAAACCTAGTCAACCGATATTAAAAACTCTTTCGCCTGTAAAAACTTACATTAACACTGAATAACATAGGTTATGTATTAAATTAAATTCCGAAAATTCTATCTGTCTGTGCGAAGTCGTACCGGATCGTTAGTTATAAAAGTTTGGATGGATATTACTTAATAACACATCAACGGTTGAATGAATTTTAATAAAATTAAATATATAAACAAGCCATATCTCAGATTGATCGATTAATGGTATAGGATATGTTTTATACTAATGCCATTCAGGCAAAACCACGAGACACAGTTTTTTTTTACGGGTGAAAATGGTATGGTAATCCTTAGCCTGCGCTAATGGGATACGCTGGCGGAGCACCAGTGAAGACAGATCGATGAGAATGAAAACAGGCCAGTTAGCCCATCATGATGAATTCATCAGGAATTAACCATGATAGTTTCCAGGGGACCTATCATCAGGGAACCGCGAGGAGATCGACCTGGTTGGGAATATTGCTAGCAATGGGATTCTCAGTCTCCATTACTAACAATCCCTTCCCCCCCACGAGATACAGTTAGGAAATAAAAATAAAGGAAAAAATTGCTTCAAGATTCGAAGTATGCGTATGAAGAGAGCATAAGAGATAAAGTGGAATAAGCAGATGTAAAATATGTATGTGAAATATATTATATATTATAACTATATATTGACATAATACCGAATAATTGAGTGTTGAGATATCTGTTTATTCGATATCGATATAATAACCAATATATGGATATTCAATATTATATATTGGGCCCGTATAAATGGTATCAACAGCGATGTCATTTAAGTTACGACAAATTAAAAACCGAAACATAGATACGATTCGATATTACATTTACCCGATGTTGCCCACGTCTGTAGATGTCGTTATTAGTCAGTCGGGCAATTTGCCTGCTTCTTGAAATAACAATATTACAAAAGACCATGTAGTTAAATTAACAAAAATATTCCAGCTTTGTACTGACCGTCCTTTCACTGGGTCGATGTCGTCGCCCGCGGTGCCATCTGGCTGCAGCTGCATGCCGCTCTGTGCCCACGTCACTGTTAGCCAATCTGAAAAAAAAAAACATTCGTTTTATTTACAATAATACTAGTCATTCGCCATGTATGCCGCATAGAATAGGCCACTCCTTCCTTTCCCGTGGGTGTCGTAAGAGGCGACTAAGGGAGGGCGAGGGATAGGCAATAGCGTCCCTCTTAAAATATTTTTTTTATACCACTGATGTGGTAAACAAGCATACGGCCCACCTGATGGTAAGCGGTTACCGTAGCCTATGAACGCCTGCAATACCAAAAGTATTACGCGCGCGTTGCCGATCTTGAAGAAACCTGTTTACCCCCCTTTTGAAGAACCCCATACTGTAGTCTCTTGGGAAAACTTCGGCAGGGAGCTCATTCCATAACCTGAGTGTTCGTGGGAGAAATCATCTCTGAAACCGCGTTGTACGCAACCATTTAGGCTGTAAGGTATGAGGGTGAACTCCCTGTCGATGGCGAGCCGTACGATGATAGAAAGTGGCCGTAGGCATCATATTGAATAATTCCTCTGAGCACAATCCGTTGTATAAGCGGTAGAACACGCAGAGTGAGGCAACATCTCTAAAAGCCCAACTGCAGTTGCCAACCTGCCTGCCAAACGTGGCAACTACTGGCAAAATTCTCCTTATGGGGAAGACTTGTTCAGCAGTGGACAGTAAATGACTGGAATAATAATAGCCATTTTCCAGGATTTTATATGCTTTAGTACCGTAGAGATTACAGAGTGAGTTTCTTCAATAAGAGTGTACGAGTATAAGGGGTCTTCAGAGTCGGTAATGCATACGTGATGCACCTAATATTGCAGGTGTCCGCAATTTACAGTGACTGTTTACCATCAGACGGGCTTTATTCGTTCAAGATTCAAAACTATTTTGTTTAAGAAACATGCGTATAAATAAATGCTAATACAATACAATTTTGTTTGACATATTTCACCTGTACAGCATACAAAAATATGTAGGTATACATACAAGTCAAAATTACATACACAAGTAAGTTAAAAAAATTATTAGTCAAAAATAAAAGGACGGTATCATAATTAAATAATGTAATATAATTGTTTATAATTACTCCTCTCCATCCAAAGGTTGCCTGGAAGAGATCGCTCTTAGCGATAAGGTCGCCCATTGTTTTCTCATTGTGATTATTTCTTGTAATTGTTTATATTTATAATAAGTTGACTATTGTAATCTTATGGAGGAAACAATAAAGAGTATCTATCCAATAAGTAGAAATAAATATAAATTTTGTCAAATTTTACGACTATCTTGTTATATATTGTTTGCCACCTTTGTAGTATATAAAAAATACATAATATACATAATAAGAGTAAGATTATTTTACGTGACGAACCGGCGCTTCTTAAGAGGAATTAACATACTAACAGATGCAGTAAATAATTAAAAGTTTCCTTGAAATTTGAGATTTCACAGGATTCTTTCAAGATGGAACTCAAAGAAAGCTCATAAAAATAATCCAGCTGTCCTTCACGTTTCTCTGTAAATTCTAAGACGCGAATGGACTTCTGCAGAACAGCGATCTGCATTGGCGAATCGTATGCGGTTATTGGACTAGAAACAATTGAGGTATTCGCTCTATCGCAGACATTCCTAATGTATTTCAGATTCGAGACAGCACTAACAATGCTTGCAATGATTTGTTGTACTGTTTTCGTAGGATGTTGTGCAATTTGCGATCCACTTCATAAATAAAATACTCCGCTTTTCGTTTTCAGGAAAAATTGCAAATTGGTAGTCGTTGCATACAGTTTTTTAGTCTTATATACTAGCGGCCCGTCCCGGCTTCGCATGGGTAGACATTTTTTACAACATTTTAAAAAGGGCATATAGTATCGGAAAGTTTTTTGTAGTTATTGATATTTTCTTCAATATTGTAGAACATACTTTTGTTCTATCACCAATAGTTTCCGCAGCGCACGCGACCAAAGATATTTTATAGCATATTTTTACACCTTGAGTTATGTTTTTTTTTATGGGTGAAAATGGTATGGTAACCCCGCCTGCGTTAACGGGATACGCCGGCGGAGCACCAGTGAAGGGTGATAGATGAGAATGAAAACAGGCCAGTTAGCCCATCATGATGAATTCATTGGGAATTAACCATGATAGTTTCCAGGGAGAACCGCGAGGAGGTCGACCCGGTTGGGTATATTGCTAGTAATGGGATTCTCAGTCTCCATTACTAACAATCCCTTTCCCCCCTCTTGAGTTATGTTACAAAAGTTTTAGTAAGGATCCCTAATCTTTTCTAGCAATAAATATAGCCTATAATAAATATAGTTTTTGAGTTTATTCATTCAAACATACACACAAAAATACAAATCTTTCCTCTTTATAATATTAGTGTAGATATATATAACTATAAAATTAAATGACATAGTTACAGAAATTTACACTAGCGCCGTCATGCGAACAATCATAGCATAATGTTTGTGTAAACGCTTTGTTAATTCTGTACTGGTAATTTACTTTGTAATGTATTGACTCTAATTATGAGAAAATTATTATGCAACCAACCAAAATCATTACAATCGTATCAACGAATACATAATAAACCAAATCAAGCTAATCATGAAAACAACAAATTAACAATAAAGAGGTAAAATGGAAAGAAAAGTAATCATAAAAGAAAAATAGGAAGAAAGAAAGATAATTATTAAGAACGTCTATGGAAATAGTCTATGGAACTATAAGTAGAATAGGACAAATTATAACAAAAGATGTCGCATGTTTACCAGAGAGAGGCTTTGTACAAAAGTCATCTGCTTGGGTACCTCTGTCACATTCGTGTTTCTATCGTGAAGCAGTTGTATTTATATAACTATGTTTCGCTTTAAATGACAATGAAATTACAAGGTGCAAAGGCATAACACCTTAGTTCTCAGGAATGGTAACGCTCGAAAGATATCATGGGTTTGTTATGTCCATGGTACTGCTCATGTCTATAGACGGCGGTTATCACATTCCATCAGGTGGGCCTTCAACTTGTTTGCTATTCTAAGTTGCATAAAAAATGTGACAGATTGGAAAAATGGGTGTGATAATAAGGTATTGAATGAATGTGCAAAAGAGAGAAGTACATTAGTAGAAGCGTGGTAATCATTGCAATGACTGCATGAAAAAAAATATATTCCAGGTAATAATAAAATAAAAACAAAATTACTACTCTTTATCACAATATTCCAGAGACGCCACCTGACGGAACTCGACGCGAAATCGCAATGAAAATTCTTAGAGGCAACATAATATAAATATTTCAATATTATAATACATTCCTGGAATTGCTAAGCGTCGTGTATATAAAATCGTGTATAAGGAAATATCTTCCTGGAACGACATATTTCGAGCTTATTAGTGTTAATATGCAATAACTGCTTTTAACACTCGACGAAAAAAATGTGTTTATAATACGAAGTAGGTATATTTTTTTTTAGTGATACCGAAACGAGGATATCCGCAAAAGAACCGAAACAACCCGAAGGATAAGCAAGCTGAAGTGGCAACGAGCTGGTCACATAGCTCGAAGAACAGACAACCGATGGGGAAGAAAGTTTCTTGAGTGGCGACCACGTACGAGTAAATGCAGTGTAGGACGACCCCCCACTAGATGGAGTGGATACAGGTGGCTCAGTACCGTTCTTTATGGCAGTCCATGGGGGAGGACACGCTTAATATCAAGTCGATTGCTTGGGTACCTCTGTCCCATTCGTGTTTCTACCGTGAAGCAGTTGTGTTTGCATGGTTGTGTTTCGGTTTGAAGGGTGGGATATGGCGTGAATTTACTGGGTACAGAGGAATAACATCTGAGTCCTTAGGAATGGCAACGCATGGGGGGTATCATGGGCGAAACAGTATGTGTGTGTACTGTTATGTCCATGGTACTGCTCATGTCTATAGGCGACGGTTACCACTTTCCATCAGGTGGGCCCTCAGCTTGTTTGCCATTCTAAGTTGTATAAAAAAAAAAAAAAAAAAAAAAAAAAAAAAAAAAAAAAAAAAAACGCATTGGCGACCCATTAAGAAATCTTAATACGCCCTTTTTAAAAACCACATGCTGTAGTCTGTAGGGAAAATCTCTTAGGAAAATCGAATAACTTTAAAAAAAACAACACTTGAGTGATCTGCCCGTTCTTCTTGGTTGAAATTCCATTACGAATGCGGTAGAATCCTAAGAAAGTTACTATTTAATAACAAAAATTGTGTTTCACGGAAAAAAAAATTACTTCATTTGTGGCAAACAAATTCTGATTGAATCAATTTTGATAAAATTTCTATAGGATTTAATAATAATTAATAATTTAATAATTCTTTTCAGATAAAAAAAGAATTCAAATCGGTATATAACTGACGAAGTTATGAAAAAAAAACGAACGAATTAAGAACCGACTTCAAAAAAGGAGGTTCTTATTACGGTTTGATGCTACACAAATGGAAAGCGCTACCCGTCGCCTATAGACATGACCAGCACCATGAACATCACAGAACACACCATCGTGCCCATGGTATGCGTTGCCATGCCATTTTATAATTGCCAAAACCAGTTTTTTTTTATACAACTTAGAATGGCAAACAAGCTGATGGCCCACCTGATGGAAAGTGGTAACCGTCGCCTATAGACATGAGCAGTACCATGGCCATACCAGAGTATACTCTTTCGCCCATGATACCCCCCATGCGTTGCCATTCCTGAGGACTCAGGTGTTATTCCTCTGTACCCAGTAAATTCACTGCCATATCCCACCCTTCAAACCGAAACACAGCCATGCAAACACAACTGCTTCACGGTTGAAACAGGAATAGAACAGAGTTACCCAAGCAATCGACTTTTGTACAAAATCTCCCTCTGGTAAGTGACCTCAATGTTCACATTCTATAATACGTATATATTTGCTTAAATGGGAATAAATCGTATGCTCTTGACAGTCCTTTGTTATGTTTAAAATTATTACCACGGGCTATATATTGTCACTTTTTCATATTTTTCCCGAGTATAGA